TCTAATACGGTTAAGATAATTCTCTACAATAACAGTAGGATAAGTACAAATAAATGAGAATAAATAATAAACTAATGTTTATCCTTATCAAGGACCACCGATTTTTAATTAAGTTCTCACGAATTGAGGATTTTTGAAGGATAACTAATTAAATGATAAATGTAATCTAATTTAAAATGAATACAAGTTTGACTATTTGATTTGTCGCATCTTTGAACTGGTTTTAATTATAATTCATCCATACTCTTTCTTTTTTCAAATTAGTAACCTCTAAATCTTAACATAATAGGAGATCCAAATTCATCCAAAGCCATGGTGTGAGGCTGCCCGTATGAAATCAGAAAGAGGTTATGACGATTAAGAAGAACCAATGAAAATAACTAAGAGTTAATGACTCAAATAGGACTAATAACAAAGTTAATTGCACATTTAGGACTACAAACGAAACACAACTTTCATAGGACCAATTTCAGTACAGTTGGACAAAAATACCCCTCTTTTTAGTTTTTTAAATTTTAAAATTGTAAAATAAAAAATTATTGAAACCCTAGGAGAGCACTGTCGCCACCAGAGCTAAACCGCCTGCCGCCACCCCTCGCCGACGCTACCTGCCGCCACCCCTCGTCGACGCAACCTGCCGCCGCCCTCTCCGGCGACGGCGCCCCCTGTCGCCGCCCTCGCTGTCTACCATCTGCCGCCGCACCGTCGTCATCAATCGCCGCTCCTTGCCGCTTCCCACACCAGCGTTGCCATCTATGCCATCACTGTCTGACCGGCGTCACCATCCACCCAAGCCACGATCCTCTGAGCACGCCACAACAGTGACAACTCAGGCGGAATAATCTGCCATTAACTTGGCAGATTTAGCTTGGGAATTAGATTCACTTCTGCCATGAACAAGTGTTTCAGATCTGCCAAAAAAGTTGGCAGATTCGACTTGGCATAGTAACACAAAACTGCCATAAATTTGGCAAAAATAAAAAAACATGAAGTAAATAACCAAGTATTCAAACAACTAAATATTTTTAATGGATCAAACATTTTAACACAACCACAAATTAGAAAAACGAAGCTATTGACATAAAATCATAAAAATCAATTTATAAAAAAGCATTTCTTCCACAATATGATTGTAAATGTACACATTTTTGCCATAAACTTGGCCAAATCTGAAGCAATCATCCAAATATTTATGAAATCGATTTTTTTTAAACTCTGAAATCAAAAACCAGAAAATCGAAATAGAAGTCTGAAAAACTGAAAAAAATAATTCAAAATTCAGAAAAATGGACGAAAATCGAAAAGAAGGAGAAGAAGAAGAAGAAGAAGGAGGAGGAGGAGGAGGAGGAGGAGGAGGAAGAAGAAGAAGAAGAAGAAGAAGAAGAAGAAGAAGAGAAAGAGGAAGAAGAAGAAGATGGATGGAGGAGAACCTTAGTGGCAGCGGCGTACGGAGAATCGAATGCAGCGGCGACGTGAGAGAGAAATCAAACGATCTTGTGTGCAGGGCGAAATTGGCGGCGGCTGAGATGGCTAGGTTGAAGACGGCCGATGATGCGCAGTGAAGGAAGAGATACAGAGGTGTGCGCAAGAGAGAATGGGGAAGCGGTTGTGCGTAGGGAATGGGAGAGAGATGAGCGTAAAAGGGATAAGAGGGTAATAATGGAATAAAAAATACGGATGTTTTCAAATAGGAGTAAAATAGTCTTGTTTAGGGAAAAAATCATGCATAGTCCTATTTGAGAATTTCACTCCTCTTTTAGTCTTATATGGGGCAATTACTTAATAACTAATGAATGATGACACGACGCAGACGATGTGTCTGGTCTTGAAGATAGATGTTGAAGAAGTATTTCACACACCGGAAAAAATATGAACTAATAAATAAAGTAATACGGAGTATATAAGATCTCGGGCTAATATGAACGGATAAGCTAGTATATAAGATTTCAGGCTACTCCTCGACCTCGATCTCGGGAGGCTACTCCTCAAATTGTTTTTTCCGAATGAAACTCAGAGTGTTGACAATATTTTTTAGCAAAGATAACACAGCTAATAGATTAAAAAGAATATCCTTATGGACCAGTGCTCGAATCACAGTAATAACTAATAAATGTTCTCCGTAAAGTAGTGAATCGAGATATGCTATGAGCTGAAGTGGACCTGTTTTCCCTTGAATACTTACATAGTTACACACTTACACATAACATGGTCTTTGATGACCGAATATGGGGAACACATTATAGAAATAATGTTAAAAATAAGAGTTGGGTCTTTTGATTGAACGAAAACAGGATCATTTCTTTGAAGAGCAGAAAAGAAACCACGCCACATATGAAGGACCCCATCTTCATTTCTGCGAGCTTGAGCGATAGGACTCCATCTCCGTTTAGCAAAGTGAAACTTGTTAGGAGATTTATTTAAAACGATGAATTGAATAACATGTGATGCAGTATATAGTCCTGCCCCTGTCCCATATACTCATATCACTCCGGAACGGGCCCGGCAGGCCTAAGCCCAGTGAGCGGTCAACTACCCCTTGGCTTAGCTTCCACACAGCCAAGAGCCACACCAATATGGGGAAATAAAACTGAGCCAAAAGAATATGATTCACAAAGAAGGTGTGACAAGATGATCAGGATAATATAGTGAGAAAACACAAGCAAAGAGAAGACGGTGAAATAAATGTGGAGGATCAAAAAGAAAGAAAATAACATGATGAAAATGCATCATGCATGTCATAAAATCCCATTTATGATTAAGTGGGATGGACAAATTGCAATGTAGATCTCCTTTACTTAGAGTATGTTTTTGAGCATGCTGAAAGTTATGGTCTTTTCTAAAATGCTACTCACTATAGCATCTCAAAAAGATCTTTTATTAAAAAAAAACTCTTAAAAGTTTTCATGTCAAACATTCAACTACAAGTTTTAAAGACATTTTAAATAGTACAAAAGCTAAAAGGTAGGGATTTATGCACCTCTTTTAATTAAAAAAAAAAGCTCTTAAAAATTGTCAAGACAACCATTCAATTAGAAGCTTTTAGAGACTTTTTAAATAGTATAAAAGCTAGAAGGTAAAGACTTATGCCTACCAAACATGCTCTAAATCAAACAATCATTTTTTGAGATGCTACATTTAGAATGTTTTCTTTTGAACTGAAATTTGCTGGTCTAGGTTGGTGGTTTGGTATGTTTAAGTCTGGTCTGGCCTGGTCTGATTTGAACTGGTATGATATGGTAAATGTTTGGTTTCTGTGTATTTTATAACCGTCCAAGTCTAGTTTGGTCTGGTCTGTTTAAGTCTGGTCTGGTCTAGTCTGTTTAAGTCTGGTATGATCTGTTCTGGTCTGATCTGTGACTGAAAACAGTCCAAAAGAAAACATCCTTAGTAGCATCTAAGAAAAGTCTCTAGCTTTTAGCATTGATTAGTTCCAACAACTTGTATGCCAAATAGAACTAAATCAAACAATTAACTTTTTATGAAACAACTACTATTTGTTTCTTTTAATATCTTTTCAATCGTTAAAAGCTAACCGTTAATAAAAATCTTATGAAAAGTATCTTTTTAGCTAGTGTTGCCAAACATACTCTAGAATTTGAATGTTATTGTCTTTGTTTTACGAGTATGATAAATCATGGAGTAAATTTATTGAGCATGTCAATAGTAAGTTGACGTATAGGGTATTTAACTATGATGAGGACCAAAGTAAACAAGTCCTGCGAGTTTCATAAACTCTGGAGCAGCGCCGCCTCCTAGGGTTTTCCTAGGAGCGTTTGTCCGGCTACGATTATTCCGTCGTGGTGCGAGTTTGGATTTTGCGTCTGTTAGTTGCTGATATAGGCATAACAGATTGTTTTTGTGTTTTCTTTTTTGGGATTGGGGTCATCGACCTAATCGTTTTGGGATTTGTCTTGGTTGATTCGAGCAAAGCATTCATTGGTGGCTTTAATTGTGCCCGAGGTGCTGGGTCTCGACAATGAGCAGGTTCGGAGGTTCTGACAGAGGGTTAGAGCAACAGTTTTGCATGGACAACTTCGTGGACAAATACAAGAAGATGGCGAGTGGGGCAAAGGAAGAAGATCTGGATCCAGATGAGGCTGATGTTGAGATTGTGGCGGATAAGTGCCCCCCCCCCTCCTGAGCCGCCGCCATGGAGTGCAAGTAAATCTAGGGTTTGGAAGAAGACTTATCTTATTTGTTTTGTTTATTTTTCCAGCGGTTTTTATGTCTGCTTTGTTATTTGCTTTTTCTTTATTATTCCAGTTTGTAAGACGTTGATTTTGGATATGGGGGATGAGAGGAATATGGTGACCGTTTTTGGCTCATTTGTGCCCATTAATGGATCATCGACTTATATTGCTTCTGATAAGGTGATTAACTCTGAGTCTGGTTCGCTGGACGACGATTGTCAGGATTCTACTTGTCGGATTACCCATTATCTAAATGTTGAGATTTCAATTTAAGCCAAATTCTTCCAAAAAAATAGTAAGTTGACGTATACCATTTTAATTTCTTGACAAATAATGACCCAACCCCTGCTTAATTAATTAGTTCTTATATATCACTTGCAACAAATCGTGTTATTTGTCTGTTAACTATGTGAGATAGCCGGTGGATTGGTTGCTAATCTCACAGCTATGGTGACAACTCTGATACCCATTTAAAAAATGGAATATTATATCTACCATTCACTTGATTGGCCCAAATCATTATATCATTTTTAATTTATATTTAAATAATTCAACTGCAATATTATGATTAATCCATATGAACGAAAGTATTGTATCTTATGGATACCATAGAATCTACCGAGAACCGTATGTACCAGATATTATACTTTTGATTAGTAATGATTAATGCCAGATATTATACTTTTGATTAGTAATGATTAATGATGCTTCAAACATTAGGTCTTGAGTATAAATACAAGTCCAACTACACACGTTTGCTTTTATCCAAAATACATATATATATATGTTACGGTACTTACAGAGAAGAGAATGAAAAACAAATGAAAATATTGATGGTAATAATCTCAACTATTGGCGGCCCACTCATAATAATCACAGCTATTGATCATTTTAGAATAATCCCAACTTTAGGGACCTTCAGACAATAATGGTCCGACGTGACCGACTATAAACAAATTCCTATAGTTTCTAAAGAGATATAGCAGGTAATCCCTATAAATAATCCCAAATTTTAATTTTTACGTTTACTTTCTATTGAAAGTTCACTTGTTAGATCAGATAATATGCGATCATTGACGATTTTTGGCAAACGATCCATATAGTTGGGATTATTGTTAACGGTGCGACAATAGTTAGGATTGTTATTGTTAACGTCTTTGAATGGAATTAAAAACCAAGTTGGCTACGTATTCCAATTACTCTTGCCATTTCCGAAAATAGAATATTCTATGTTTCTTTTTTTACCTGTGATATTCTATGTTCCTTTAATAGGCAAAGATTTTTTTTTAAAAAAGTTGAGTTAATTTGAAGTATCTGTCCAATCAATCTATAATCTAATTTAAATTTAAACTAAATATACCAACTCCAGAAGAATAAAATAAAAATAGAATAATTCAAGCTAGATAGAATGTCTTGAAAGAAATCTAGATACCATCATGTAGTTTTTTTAAATTTAAACTAAATATACGCAATTGCTAATTCAAGAAATGCCACTGCTATTCATTAATTTTTATTTTTACATAAAGTTCAAAGTGTATAGTTTTCTTAAGATCAAATCACAGCACTCACAGAAAAAAATAAAGAATAAAGAAAATCAAATAATACAAAGAGACAGGATTTAGCAGAAATTGAAGCAATAATATAATGGATGATGCAAGTCCAAGTGCTCCAGGATCTTACAATTATGAAGATTTTGATCCAAAATGCAGAATCCGCAATAAGGCAACACATGACGCCCTCATCTTGCATTTACCACACGGTATGTTTTATTAATTTCCTAATTCTAGCTTTTTAAATAAGAGTTTCCAGCCTTCATATTTGTGATCTAAAACAATGATATATAGATGCATTTTATGAATCAATATTTTGACATTGTTGAACGTTTACTGCTCCAAACCCCCTCATAATTAATATACTACTCGTACAAGTTACTTTGCTAAAAAATATCTAACCTACTATTGTACTATATAATAATCACTTTTATTCAGGTTTAATCAATGATATTTTTTGACCTTTAATGAATTTTTTAGATAATCGGTTGAATTAAATTGACTTTTTGACTTTTAACTGACTTTTCTTGGTAGATAATCAACTTTGACCAGTGATATTTTTTAATGCGAGACTATTTTCATATGAAAGTTATATATATTAAAATGTCCCTTGCTTATTAAAAGTATTTTACATAAAAGTATAAAATTTATAAATTATACAAGTATATAAATATAATAATTAAAATCATTATTCAGACATTATCATTGACCAAGACAAGTCAATGTGACAAACTTTTTTGGAACGAAGGGAGATGTGATCTATGACTGCTTATATATGTGACTAGCTAGGTTTCTCAGTGGACCATATCGCTATTCTATCAATCGGGGTTCCTGCACAAAGCTGGATCCAGATCTTCGGGCACAAGCCGTGTGAGGATGAAGGCTGCCCCCAGAAGTGGATTCGATTTTTCAAGGAATTCAATCTTTCAAGTAACTGCGACTTGAGGGGTGTCCGCATGAGAATGAAACTAGACGATGACGACGATAATTATAATCTGTACATAACCCAACACAAACCGCCATCCATGTTTAATATCCCGGCCATCCGGGAAGAACAAGTGTCAATTTCTCCCCATGAAGACATCTATAAAGATGTTGATGATGTGGTTTGGGAGCTCAAGAAGGAATCGCCTGAATTTGATACTCTCGTCCTCTGTTTACCAGCCCCAGGTACGCCATTTCTTATTTCCCCTTGGTCACTAATAAGGAAAAAACTATCCGTACACGAAATATGTACACGTTTTATGCACAAACCCTCTAGTTGCTCGTGTTTACAAACAACTCGTTCAGAAGTTGGAACTAGAAGTGCGTACACAAAATGTGTATGAATTTTGTGTACAAGTAGCACGGTTGCAGTAATAATGTCTCATATCTTTATATTGTAGTCCAACATCACTAATAATGTCCACCGCATCGCCTCAGTTTTTGTAGTCACTAATAATGTTCATTGTCGCCTTTGTTGGAATTTCAGTTATATAAAACAAATTCAATTCTCAAAACTCATTTTATTGTACTCTTAGGATGTTTTTACTTGGACTATTTTTAGTTCAAGATCAAATCAGACCAGATCAAATCAGATTAAATCAGATCAAATCAGATCAGACTAGACCAGAAAATTTCAGTTCAACTAAAAACATCTTTAAACCCAAGGCACTTTTGAATGATATTCCTAAATAGAAATTAAATTTGCCTAGTTCATTTTCACACGTATAAAAAGAAATTGGGCTTGTTCATTTTCAAAGTAATCAAATTAGGTTTAGCTAGTAGCACTTGGATAATGGTATGTTTGACACAACTAAATGAAAATATATATTTTTGAGCTTTATAGTAAGTGTTAGATTTTAATGACTAAAATGATCATAAAAGAAAAAATAGTTGTTTGACAAAAGGCTGATTGATTTAATGCATATGTGGTAGGCGTAAATTCATACCTTCTACTTTTGTACTATTTAGAAAATATTTAAAAGCTTCTCACTATATGTTAAGTTTAACAATTTTTAATCCTTGACCCATTTTATTTCAGGTTTCACTAAAAACCAAGTAAGCGTTCGATTAACGGAATCTCAACGGCTCCTCGAGATCAGTGGACATACATATGACTTAACGGCATATTCCGGCGGAGAAATCCGTCTTCCGCCTGGATTTAAATTGGTGACTCGATTTTGTAAAAACATCTCCGTTTCATCTAACTACGATTCGAACCGGGTCGAGAAGAAAATTGAATACGGTATCCTGTACATAACACTTCCCAAAGTCATGAGGAAGAGAGAAAATCCTATTTCTACATCCCAACTGATTAAAAAGTTACACAACACGATGAGTGGGGCTCTAACCATCTGCTTAAGTTGTTGCACTTGGTCAAAGTAACTATTACTCACTATTATATTTCTCCTCTTGAATTTGTCAATTTTCGATGGAAAAATGGAAACTTATAATCCAACATTTTAGCGGTCTTCTTACAATATTCTCACTTTTTCATTATTCAGGAATAATTTAACTTTTCCACTCCATCTTCATTCAATAGTCCCTGATCGGTTGATGACCTATTATTCCAAGTTATTTTCTTATCTTTGCAAAACATTATGTGACCATAAGGCATGATTTATGGTATAATATATTACAAAGATAAGAAAATAACTTGGAATAGCAGGTCATCAATCGGTCAGGGACCAACAAATGAAGATGAGGCGCAAAAGTTTGATTATTTCTGAATAACGAAAAGATGAGACTATTGTAAGAAGACCGCTAAAAGGTTGGATTATTAGTTTCCAATTTCCCATTTTCAATGAGGTGGGGAAAGTTACTATATGATTGAAGTTTGTACATACAACACGACATCGGAACTGGTAGGGGGTGAACGCGGTCCGGTCCAGATTCATCACTAAATTAGTGAAACATGTAATGTACCCACAAGATTTCTAACAGTTCAGTACGGTTTGGTTCTAGGGATGAAACCATTCGATACCATGTAATTTCGGAATGGTACAAAATGGTTCGATACAATATCAACACATGCTGAAACATTTGGACAAATCATGTAATTAGTAGATATTATCACACCTCGAATTCACATGAAGTGTTGATAAAATATAACGAAATGCATACTAAATACTAGGAAAGATTCAAGAGGCTGAAACTCTTGTATTTAAAATCACAAATATTCAAATAATGCAACACAATTAAAGATAAATATAGCAAAAGGGCAATACACCAAAGACATATCATCTTTATTATATTCATGTGAAATTATAAAAAAGTATCATCTAGACCGCCGTACAGATATAATAAAGCAACAAACCACCGAAGTTCAGTTACGTCGCATCGTAGCCTGATTTCATTGGACCAGTTGACATGTCTCGATTGTCTGAAAACCAATGACATTTATTTCAGTCTTGTACTTAATAGTTCGATAAAGATCTCGTACTACTCTTTTCTTGCTGTGGCAGTGGTTCTAGAGGAGGGTGGACCAATAATGTTGTCATAGGTAAGTAGAGTGGCATGATGGTATGTGAGAAAAACATATATAAGATTCGATGATGTCATCAATAGCATGTGAACAATAGCATAACACCCACGAGGCACTTGCATTTTTAATTTTAGAATAAGTCGCCTATGAAATGACGGTCAAAATCGACCGAACAAGAACCCTAAAAATCTCGGGAAATAAAACATTCCTAATAATACGGACTTACGGACCACCTTTTCAGTTATGATAACACACATAAAAAATGGAAATTAGATAAATGAAATCATCTATGTAAGAAGGTGTTGCTACTCTCGTGTAGGCCTGTCAATGGGTAGGGTCTAGATCCGGACCCGACCCGGACCCGGTTGTTTTTAATGGGTACGGGTCTATTTTTTATTCCGTTTACCCGGACCCGGATACGGCCCCGTTAGTATTTTAAATAAACGGGTCGGGTATGGTACATATGATTCCGACTCGTTAAGGACCCAGACCCATTTAAAATTTCTTATTTGTATACACATACACTCAAACATAAAGTGATTAGTTATAACACTTTAAATAAAATAGAAACTAATATACATATATACATAATACAGAGTAATACATAAAGTTACTAGTTGTGAATTTGTGATTATTCAATAAAAATATACACATTAATACATAAATACTATATAAGTGATACCGATCAAGATAGTAAGATACCCTAAAACTAATATTTATTACAATTATTATTAATATTATTATATCATTATCATATATAATACTACATATGATTTTATACTCTTAGTAGTCAAAGAGACCTTTTTATGACTTAATTTCTAGTTTATTCTACGAGTTTTTTGTGCGAGAGAAAGTGGCGCAAAGAGTGGAGCTATATGCATGTACAAGAACCGATACTTTATTAGATAAAAGTACTAATTTTGTATGAGAGACCTTATTTTTTTTGAAAAGTGAAGATATATTTTGCTTTTAAATTTGTACACTTTGCTGTATATTTGACATACATGTCTTGATATTTTCACAAAGTTTATAATGGTGTGCGTATCATACTTGGCGGGTGGGTCTACCCGACCCGATACCGAGACCCGTTGGGTCTGGGTCCGGGTCCAAATTTTCAGACCCGCCGGGTAAACGGGTCGGGTCCGGGTTCTTCATTAACTTAGCGGGTCCAGGTCTGGAACACTGCGTTCCGACCCGGACCCGACCCATTGACAAGCCTACTCTCGTGTGGCAAATTATACCGTGGGATCGGCCCATCCTCCGCATGGGGTGCCGATCCCACTTTAGTCAATTGATTTCCTTTTTCATTCTTCCTCGAGCAGCATTCGTTTTTTTCTTTTGCTTTTCTTTTTTTATTTTTCTTTTTTCAATTCTTCTCTTTTTTCATCAAATTAAAATACTAAAAATTTAATTGTAGTTTTACTTTCTTTTATCTTCAACTTAAATTATAATTGAATCTATTTTTTATTTTTATTAATACATAACAAAAAGTTCATCAATCTAAATAAAATTAGTATATTGGATTTCATATTCATACACTATTTTTATTTCTACAATCTTTTTTATATTCATACACTTTTTTCATCACCAAATCATTACAAAATTTTATTAATCCAAAAAAAAGTATATTTTTATTTCATAATCATGCACTTATTCTACTTTTTTTATCTTCAACTGAAATTGCAATAGAATATATTTTTTTGTAATATTTTTTATATGTCAATTTCATAATTCTTTATAATAATTCTTTATAATATATTTCTTATATCTTTGCAAAAAAAGTATACTCCGTATTTCTTATCTATTTGATATGTTTTTAGTGTTTTTATGTCATTAAAAATGTTTATTTCGATTTAAATTTCATAAAAATGAAATTATATTACATTTTTAATATGTGTGAGTTATGCTTATAGACAATTTATGGAATTACATTTGATGAAATATAGAGTTACATCTTCTTATGGGCGAGTTACATCTTCTTATGAATGAGTACGTTACATCTTCCTATGCGTGAGTTATATTTGGACTTGTCTCAACAAGTTACACTTTGCGTACACCTAAGTTAGATTTTCCATCAACGCGAATTATATTTTTTCATAACACGAGTTACATCACAAAATAAACTCCAGCTATTAATAAAAAAAAGCAATTTTTGCAAACAAAAATGAGTTTTTTTGGCAAAAAAATTTCTTTCAAACATGTTTATGGCCTTAATACTAAAAACAAAACATATTAACTATTTATTAAAATTCATTTGAGCAATTAGACTCCTTATTTTAATTGTTTGCATTGATAGTATATGAAGTTACTTCTTTTTGTTTGCGAGTTACATTTTTTTATGCGTGAGTTACATCTTCTTATACGCGAGTTACATTTAGACATGCATTAACAAGTTACATTTTGCATAAACCGAAATTAGATTTTCCATCAACGCGAGTTACATTTTGCATAACACGAGTTCCAACACGACATAAAGTCCTGTTATTGAAACAAAAAAGCATGTTTTTGCAAAAAAAAATCTGTTTGGGAAAAAGTTGATTTATTTGACAAAACAAGTGATTTTAAAAAAACATTTTATGACCTTAATATTAAAAATAGAACATATTCACTATTTAAGGAAGCCCCTGTTACTGAAACAAAAAATCACTCTTTTTGCAAAAAAATGATTTTTGTGGTAAAAAAATATTTGTTTTTGAAAAAAAGGATTTTAAGAAAAAAGATTATTTATGGCCTTAATATAAAAAAACATATTCACTATTTACGTAAAGTAATTGAGTAATTAGACTCATTGTTTTCATTGACCCGAGTGAACAGTAACACGCGAATTTGGTTGTGGGAGCAGCATGCTCAAGGTGGGCTGCTCCCACGGTATACGAACTGCTCTCGTGTGGCATAAACTCCTTAAAAAGATCCGAAAATCGGAACTTATTTTTTAATTTATTTGACTAGTGTGGGTTTGTTATAAACAAAAGAATAAAAAAGACCGTGCTGAAACACCATGATTATTATTAATCCCGTCCGACTTATATTGGGACATAAAGAGGTGGTGCAATTATCAAGAGAATTGAATTTATGTGATTGATATTGAATTGATAAAATAAGAATGATTTAGAATCATACAACACTAACAAATTTGCATATGAGACGATCTTAATGTGGGAGTAGTGTATTGATTCAAGTTAGAACATCTTAAACGACATTGTCAAACGGGCCCAAAATACGATACGTGACGTGAATACAGATAACATTTACGGGAAATTCTATATACAGCCACAAAATTGTTATTTACAACCATCTAATTAAATTTTAATAAATAAAAATGTTTCAAATGTCTAATTTACCCTTATGTAAATATATCATCGAGCAAAGCACACGCACGATCCCGACAATTTATATGGTACACCCGGGTGTACATGTACACCCAGTAGTGCTCTACTGATCCTGCGCTTCCCTTGCCCTGAACGTGAGTGGGCTGATCAATTTGGCTGATCAATACATATTTTTATTCTCCTACTTTCTACTTTAATGGTTCTGCGTTCTTTTTAATTTTTTTTATTCTCCTTTCTTTTATTGTTTCGTTCTTCTTTTCTTGCTTTTACGTTTTTCCTTCTTTAGTTCTTTCTTTTTCTTATTTTTTTTTATTTTAATCTTTAGTCAATTATAAAATATTTTAGATATTAATGTTTTGTTTTTCTATATCTCTTTGTGTAAGTTGCGTATGCTCATTTAATATTCGTTTTATGCTCATTTTAAAATGTCATATCAATACACAAATGAAATGAGTTTTATGTTAAATTCAAATGAGTATAACGTCCAAAATGAATGAGCACACAAAAATGCGTTTTTAAATTTTTTGATACTCATTTCGTAAGTTATGTATGCTCATTCGGTATTAATGGTATGCTCATTTTAAAATGCCATATCAATAATGCATATTTTAAAATTATTATACTATATTAAATTCGCATATTGTTTTTAATTGAAATTGATTATAGACATAATTTCAGAATTCTTTTTTAAACAAATTAAAAAAATTACCTTAGATGATTTGAAGCAGATTTCATGATAATCATTTTTAGGCTCCTATTACACAAAAGAATAGACATGATGCTCATCAAACTTGCATTAATGCTCATTTTAGACAAATCGCGATTTTCATCAAAATTACAAAATTGCCCCCGGATATACGGTGCCTCAATTTGGCAAATCATCGATAGCAAATAGGCTATCAAACTACTGGAACTCCAAAACTCTTATTTTTTAAATGCGATGAAGCCATTTTGGCTTTGAGAGTTTTTAGTGACAATATGAGCAAATAGAAGAGAATATTGAAATTAAACCACTAAGTACGTGGGATGTTTGTAGATTAATAGGTTTAATATAATTACCGGATTGAATGGTTGTATTAGTTTAGGGGCAAAAGAGATATTTACAAATACATTATTTAATTAATTCTTTAATTATTTAGAAAATGCGCGCTTCTTTGAAACAAATCAACAATTGCGGATCCACACTACGCCCATCATTAAAGTTCATTAAAGTATTCCATATTAAGTCCATGTTTGGCAAGCATAAATCTT